GTGCAGTAAATACCAGAAGAGGCGATATTTTGACCCGACACTGATTAGACTTCTTATTGAAGTTTGGTTAGTGTTAATGATTGATCAAAGAGATTTCAAAGAAGGTAAGTGAGAACACTTGGGCCGCATTTAGATGTGAGTAATCGGAATTACTTTATGGCTTTTTAGGAGCACTGAATGAGCTCATTAACAGTTAACCCTGAAGATGAATGTATCGAGCACTAGCATTTGTGATTTATATTACAACAGGAGATTGTATTTTACTTGAAGATGATCATAAAAACTAAATGTTCTCCATCTCCCCTAACTCTTAAACAGCTCACTACTCCAGACAAAACAGATCTCAACTTTAATAACAGTGTTACATTTCTTCTATTTTAAAAGCAAGACTGCAGATACTTTCGGAACATACGAACAAAGTAACAGTTGCACAGCCATGTCATGTTTAAACAGAGACACTGGGGGATAGAAGACCGAATATGCCATTAGTCCAGATGCCTGTCTGTCTGCATTCCACTTTCGCTAGTGGACTCTGATCTACTTCTTCCTTAGATTAGTCAAGTTGCCAGCTGCATGTAGCTTTGTTCATAACAATTAATATCATAAAACACTTCCAGGCCACAAAAGACAAACAAACACCACCACTAGCTCTGTGAACATGGCTGGGCCTCAGAGAGAGTATAACTACAGGAATAGTAATTTTGTGGGGAGAGGAGCCATAATGGAGCTTCAATGGCCTTCAGTCAAAATAAATGTTACGGTCCTTTGAGACAGAGTCAATCTGGACATCATACAGCAGGCCCGATATAGAAAACAGTTATGATAGGCACTTATAAATGGCAGAGGAAGAGGGGTATGAGCGAAAAGTGAAGGGATTTTACCAGTAAGCAGTTTGTAGACATTCCCCATTTCACCCAGTTTCATAGGACTCATATTGGTTGTCTCCTGGTTGTGTCCTCCTGGCTTCGCAGACAGAGTGCACACAATGCAAATTGTGCTCTCAAAGCTGTGTTGAATATTGTAAAGCTGAGGAGGAAATCCATGTCATGTAATCAGCATACTGCTGGTATGGTGTCATGTGTGATCTTATTATGACACCAGGCAAACTTGACACACGAATATATATCTACAAGGGCGACGGTTTAAAGTACGTCGAACAGGTCTGGGTTGATGTTAAAAAAGATGAAGATTGTGAGTTACTTTACTGTGTGTTTCACCGTGTTCACAATGAGCTTAAGTTCCCAAGACCACTGACTCATGAGATTACCGTTCATTTACATCTCCAAATACAGGAGTTTAGAGTCCACAGATGGCGACGTGTCTGCGTCAGAAACATTCAGAGTAAAGCGCCAACTCTTAATGCACTGCTCTTTTTCAGACGTTTCCCCTCTATGATATTGTTTCTTTCATCATCAGATCTCAACGAGCTTTCAAGGAAGTCAAATATTTCTAAGCGCATGCCGCTAAGTTTGCTTAACACAGCAGAGTCAATATTAATAGAGTGCTATTTAAGCCCAGGTTTATACACAGTGCAACCAGCAAGGTAATGATTGACCAGGCTTTGGTCGTGTCAATAGAAAAAAAAAAAAGAGAGAGAAAAAACTATGTCGAGATCTGAGGGTCGTACAATTGTTAACTGGGATAGATAGTGCAGAACCCATAACATTCTTCAACTTAATGTGAAACTGGTGGAGAGACATTTTATTACATGCATTAACTTACAGACCATCAGTAAAAGATAGCAAGCAGTCTTGTCTTGAGTGCTATTGTTTATTGGATTTACTTTACATTCTCTGTCGCAACAGCAAACTAAAAATATGTTCCTCATCATGTTTTGCTGTTTAATGCAGCTTTTCTATTGTTTTAAATGGCATTTATTTTCTTACTCATCTTACTCTATCTTGGGGACAGCTCTTTGTGACCGCTTGTGTGAGATAGGCATTTTACAGACGAGCATTACCTATTAAAAAAAAAAAATAAAAAAAAAAAACAGCTAAAGATTCTGATCGACAGTATATTTTATTTCTGGGCTGGGGTACGACTTAAGCTGATGTTAAGGAGTCAAAAGATAACCGGGGCTTTTTTTCCAAAAAAAAAAAAAATCAACTGTGGAAGAGTGGGCCTTATCAGGACCATACCCAACACAGTGAAACCCAGCTTCTCTACTAAACAGCCCATGGTGTCGACTGTGCTGCCAGGAACACACAATTGTGCGATTAACAGGTTTAAAAACAAGTTACCACTGGCCTTAATCTCAAAGGAGTTTTAGCTGATTTATGTGGTGCATAAGAGTTCACGGTCTAGAGTTAGGAGTAAAAAGTTAAATTATATAATTGACAGCAAAAACAAATTGTTATCTTATTATCTTTGTGCATTACTGGGAATG